CAGTGGTTTTCAAAGTGCTTTGAAGGATGCCGTGATCCATTTCATGTGATCCATGATCAACGTTGTGTGATTTCACTAACGTCACAAGAGAACAGAGCTGATTTCTAGTTCAGGGCTCGTGCCTTGGTGTCCTGCTTTGAGAATCTGAATGCTGATGACTTGGAGACTGAACTTCTCGCATATAAGGAGAACCCATCTGGAAATAAAACAGGTCCGTAGCAAAAGTCACTGTGAGAAAATAACTACAGCTTCTGTCTCTAAGAAACTGAATAATCCCTAAGCCTTTAAAGAGCTTACATGGTACGGTAGCTGTAACAAGACCTGATCCTGAAGCCTTTTCTCCCTCTTCAGCAGCATTGCTCAGCTACACGTGGCCAGCTGGGGTCAGCCTGTGTCCAGCTCAATACCTCATTTCTCCACCAAAGGTTCAGAGCACAGTTTCACTCACTTCACCAGAAATAACAGCTTTCATCACTTCCCTTACCCATTTTATCATATATTCATGGTAAGAGCAGGAGCACACATGCTGTTTCTGGCACAGAGGAGGAAATAACCAGTTGGGGGGGGGGGGGGGAATTTTTTTGGGGACAGTGCTGCCTTAAAATGCTTGTGAAACTACAGCCTCAGGCATTCGTGGGCTTTCTGTTTCACCATCTGAAGGGGTGCCATCTACACTTTTTTTAAAAAAAAGCTTCTGAAAAGCTTAGTCTGTTTTATGAGGAATGTGTTAGGTATCTTAGATATTTATGTACTAATGAAGTGGTTTTATTTATTTTTTTCTGAGGAAATGCTTGGTAATTTTGGGTTCATATTCTTCAAAGAGAGGAGATTAATTTCCTGTTAAGATTTGGAATATGATTTTTTCAAATGTCTTCAGAGAAAAAAGTAAACTTGAAGAGTGATTACAGAATATTGGCTAATTAGCCATAGTGTAACTGCTTTAATTACTTTTATCCCTGAAGCCACATGACTGTGCAGATGACTAGCAGATGACTTACTTAAAAAAAAAAAAAAAAAAGACATGTTCACACTGCAAGGTTAATGAGCCTAATTAAATACAGTTTTTCTTACCCAGATACTAAATCATAAAGCTTGGGGGAGTGGAGGAGGGGAAGAATCCAAAGGCAGTCAGTTCTTTTTCAAATAATGGTTTTATTCTTATTTTTAATGCAAAAACAAAAACCAAAACTGGAATTGTAGTGATTTTTCTGAATAGAGACACATTTAAATATTTGGTGAGACCTCACATGGCAAACTTTGAAAGTCTATTTAGAGGCCATTATGCTGAGACATACTTGTTTTCACTTGCCCACTGCTTTAATTAATAGAGAAGTGGGCTTGGATAAAAAAAGGTCTGTGTTAGATAGAAGTCTCCATCTGCTGCTGCATATTACCAGAACCTTTGTCCTTCCTCGCCGTGCATTTTTTAAATTACACCATTTTATTTTCTTTAGTAAGCTGCATAATGCCTCACATGAAGTTGTACAGATGGGGTGGAGTTCTGCTTTTTTAAAAAAATTATTTTAATTTTTTTTTTCAAGTTTTCTGCCTGTGCTGTTCACAGTGGTTTGATATCCCACGTTCTAACAAAATACTTGGAGATCCAGATTCTATGGTCTTTCAAGGTAACTTACATCTCAGGCACAAAAATTAGGTATGACACCTTCCTGAGTTGCCATGTGACAGGTATGTTCATGACTATTCTGAAAACAGAAGGCAAAGTGTGTTACACTGGGAAAAGGGCTTAAGCCAATGAATTTAATTTAATCATATTTGCAAAGAACATGCAATCAGCAATTGCTGATCAGCTGATACACGGTAACTTTCACAGGTGACTTTGGGCAAAGCAAAGGTAGTAGCTTATTTCACTTCCACTGTCCTTCCCCATCATTTCTCCCACTGATTATGAATTTACTTTTCTTTTTCTTTCTTCAAATGCTGTTAGACTTGACTATATCCTTTAATCTCATCTAGTATGCAGTGCTCTATTTCCTGAAAAGATTACTGTGACCTTCTGAAAAGCTATGCTCAAAAGTCAGGTAGGGGCAGATACAATAGTTGTATGTATGATTCTACCAGTGTCCAGCACAAGATGAATCAGACTGAATCCTCTCCAAATAATAAGTAGTGAAGAGTTAACCTACTCTTGAGGGAAATTTCTGTTCTTTCACTTAAATTTTCATCTGAATCCTGAATTTTCCATATCTAACAGACTAGATACTGTCTTCATATTCTTCCAAACTCTTCTATGGAAGGCTGTAGTTTTTATGAATTAATTATTTAGTTGGATTTCTTAGTTGTCTTTCATAATGTAGAAAGAATAGATTAGAGTAGGGTCCTTATTGGAGAACAAGAAGAGTTCCTCATCTAAACCACTTGCTTTGATTTTTTCACGTTTTCCAAAGGAGCTGAAAAGTCACCACGCACCCAGTAGGGTTCAAAAGTTATTTTCATATATTGGATTATGATTAAATGATTCCACCTGAGCAAGAGAATCACAACACAGCGTTTGTGTTTCCTTCCTTCCTTTATTTATGTATTTGTATTTTCCTCCCCCATGGACTCTATCAAATATTGCTGCTAGTGGCCCCCTGAGAAGTGATGTATGCTCTGTGCTGGTCACATAGCAGCTGGGACCTTAAAGCAACTGCAGAGGATGTAAAGGTTTCACTAGGTTAAATTTCAACTGCCTGTGTTTGTATGGTTTGCATTTATTGATATTCACAAAGAAGGGAAGTTCTAGCCGTAGGTTTTGTAGCAATAGCTTTTCTCACCTGCTTTCCACATGTCACTTGAGCTTCTCGCTTTTGGGGCAGAATGGATAAGCCTGTGGCTTTTAGAGGGTTTGCTGTTCAACTAGTTTGCAACTTTGCAAGCTCCTCCTGTTCTTTGTCACCATACATGCTAAATTCTTAAACAAATCCTTAAATTCCTTAGGATTCCTTTGAAATTCCTTCTTTGATTTACATTTTCTGCTTTTGGCTGACATTTTGACCTTGTAGGTACTGCTCTTTTAATTTCTTGTATGTGGTAATAGGAAGGCAGTAGAATCATAGAATGGTTTGGATTGGAAGGGACCTTAAAGCTCATCCAGGTCCAACCCCCCTGCCATCAGCAGGGACACCTTCCACTAGACCAGGTTGCTCAAAGCCTCATCCAGCCTGGCCTTCAACACTTCCAGGGAGGGGGCATCCACAGCTTCCTTGGGCAACCTGTGCCAGTGTCTGAGCACCCTCACAGTGAAGAACTTCTTCCTAATAGCTAATCTAAACCTCCCCGCGTTCAGTTTAAACCCATTTCCCCTTGTTCTGTCATTAACTACCCTTATGAAAAGTCCTTCCCCAGCTTTCTTGTAGCCCCTTCAGGTACTGGAAGGCCTCTATAAGACCTCCCCAGAGCCTTCTCTTCTCCAGGCTGAACAGCCCCAACTCTCTCAGCCTGTCCTCACAGCAGAGCTGCTCCAGCCCTCGGATCATCCTCGTGGCCTCCGCTGGACTTGTTCTAACTGGTCCGTGTCTTTCTTATGTTGGGGGCTCCAGAACTGGATGCATTATTCCAGGTGGGGCCTTACGAGAGCGGAGTAGAGGGGCAGAATCACCTCCCAGTAGCAAGGTGGCTTACTATGCTCAGAACAAGATTTTGTTTAGCTGTGTATCATGCCTTTGTCCTGCATTTCCACTGGGTCATCTTTACCCTAAATTGGTTTCTACAGAGCTTTTTTGTAAGTCTAATTAGGAAAACAAGCTTGTATTTACACATACTTTAGCTGATATATTAGTTCTACACTTTTTCTTTTTTTAAACTGTAAAGTAGGCAGAAAAAAATTTGAGGATAAGATTTCTGTGCAAAAGTAGTGATTTTGGCTATTGACTTTTAAAAAAGTTTTAAACCTTTTTAAATAAGTGTGCTTGAGTGATATGCAAGTTTCATACAGCAGTGAAAAAGACTTGTAGAGATGAGATGCTCTTAATAAATTAAGTCACCCAGAGCTATTATCTCTTAGTATCGAAGCCCATGTCCATGTACTGACCTTAACTGATGATGATGTTTGATGATTGATGGTGGTGATTTGCTGATGCTTGGTAGTTAATGATTGTTGATGTTGTTTTCAGAGTATTTTCATGGATTACTTATATGATTAGTGTTTAGAAGAATTATTTATGTTTTGGGAAATGAGAGATTTTAAAGATACTCTGATTTCTTTTTCCTGTGTACTTCTGTGAGCAGTTTGTATTTATTAACATTCAAAATGACATCTTTGGATTATCATACTCAGCAGAAATTTCAAGATTCAAGAACCTGAACCCCCAGTTCTCCTTATCAGTCAGTTACCCTTCATTAAGCAGTGTCCAATCTTTGGTGCTTTTGTTTTTAGACAGTTTTATTATTGTAGTAAACATTGAGCATCTGCTTCTCTTCCAGCCTTAGCAGCAAATGCAGTAAAATTAGCTCTAGACAGTAACAACCCAAATGCTTTGTTCTGAAGGGTCTGTCCGAAGGTTTTGGTGACTATGTGGTGTACAGTGCTTGAAAATAAAGGTTCACGCACACAAAAAAATGCTGTTGTATCCTAAGTGCCAGCAGACAAGCAAAGGACTGAATCAATTCCGGATTCTGGAATCAAGAAGTAAATCAGCAAGCAGTGGCAGAAGGCTGCTTTGTTTAGGTTTTTATATGCTACATGTAAAATACACTTCATAGTCCAGGACTAGCAACATAGTGTCTCTTATCAACTGTAAGTTAATTCAATTTTAATGGCAAACAAAACCTGCTGTGTGAAACATCCCGTTCACAGATCAGACCCTAACAGAAGTTAGTGCTAGTAGGATATTTTGCACTGGTGATAAGTACACCAGCCCTTAAAAGGACATGAAAGCACAACATCCTCTTCAGAGGTTCCAAACCAAGCTACAACTTTCTTCTGAAATCCCACACCATATTTTAAAAGAACACAGAAATAGATGAGACTTTTTTTTTTTTATTCTCTTTTCCCACCCCAGAACTTGGCTGGATCTCAAAAGTGCATGTGAATCGACCTGCAGTTGTGAGGCATGCAGAACGAATTAAAAAATGGAGAACTGTGAAAGGTAATTGGCAAGTAAGTGCTCTTTTTATGCATTCCATTCCTGTATTTTTAAAGCAGTCACTCTCCCTCTCCAGGCTACAATATTGAATTTTTTTCAAGATCCATGTAAACTTAAAAGATGTGCTTGTCCATGTCTTATTTTAATAATTTGTATTTGATGATGGTGGGATGGAATAAGGTGACGCATTTATCCAAACAAGTTAAAAACCTTATAACTCATGAGTGGCAAAACTGCAAATGAATTTAAGTCATCTTTATTCATGAGTGGATTAAATTGTATATTACTATCCCACCACATTTATTCTGTTTCCCAGACAGATTTCTTTGCGTGCTGCCTTCTTATTTTTTAATTTTAAAGCTGTAAGATATGATCATGGTCCCTGTCAAGTTTGACCTACCTGGATGATTTTTCTTTACTTAAACATCCCCAACATGTGTGATTTCTTTGCTTAACTAGTTCTTACCTAAAACTCAAAAATCCTGACTGGCTATGGCACTTGGGGGCAGAAAGGAAAAAAAAAATAAAAATGAAAGAGCCATCTAATGTTACGGGAACTGAGTTCTCAACTCCTTAGATAAGGTAAATGATTGGTTATTGTCCATCTTTGTATAAAATATGTTCACATAAGCCATCGCTAAAGCCAGTGGTGCAAATGAACTTTTCTTCAAGGCTGACTTTATTGATTGAACACACGTTTAGAGTATCTTAGCAGTTACCCTCAACCTCTGCTGTTACTGCCCAGCTGGCAGAATGGACAGATTTTGGCCTGGTGTCCAGTTTGAATCAAGGAGTCAAGCTTAGACTAACACAGACCAGCAACACTTCATTACTGCATTCAGTCACCCCAAAGCAGCTTTCAGTGTAACATTTACCTGCAAGTTCAGAAAGGAGACTCCCATCAGTGAAGTGTGAGAGGTTTGTAGGCTGGCCAGCCACTAAAGATTTGCAGAGTAATACCTCCATGCAGAAACAACAACTTTTGCTGCCTATACTGACAAATTATGTCACAGAACAGAGCAGTCACAGAAGGACTTTATGGACTCAATGGACTTTGCCATTGCAAACTTCCCCCTTTTGGAACAAACATGCACTAAGATGTGTCAGCTTTTAGTGAAGCCATCACTGTAAATTAAAATTTGCTGGAAGATCTTCAACAAATATCTCAAAATAATGTCTTAAGCTCAATTTTTGTTTGGCAAAAAAGCTAAAAAAAGTTTTTGTTGTGCTTCTGTTCCGTTCTCTGATTAGTATATCTTCTAAAATTCCATAGCATTTTCATCTGAGTGCTATAGCCTTGTCACTTAGCTCTTGCTTTTGTTTTTTGCACCAAATAATTACAGATGTTTTTTATTCCTGATTCACACAAAAGAAAGTGGAAACATCTGGAGTCTAGACCCTAATTTTTAAGAAGTCTGGGTTCTTACCCCCTGCTGATTCCATGTTTCACTCTCACAGCAGGAGAAGCATGCAAACGTGCAAGTGTGCAAATTGCTGATGTGTAGACTCATCTGGTTACTGGCAATTGCAAACCTGTGCTCTGCTTGAGGCATGTGTATAATTTCTCATGCATATAAGCCTTAAAGATACAGACATACTGTGTGGAATGGAGCATATTATAACAGTCAGGTTCCTCACATAGGTGGCGTTTTTATCTTTGTCTTGCAGATTTAAATTTGTCCAGGTAAAAATGTTTGTCTGATTCTTACAGAGTCCCATTTGTTAGTTAGCTTTTGCACCAAAAATGGTCATTTGATCCTTTTATTCTGAGAGAGTGGACTTCTGCTTCCAAATCCTTTCTGTACCATTAGATACTGCTCAAGACATGAACAAATTACCTGCCAGCACTGTCTGTTATAAACCATTTTTTGCATATCCTCCATGTTATATCCCATACGTTTCCTCATTCTTAGAGTGAGTGCCAGGCTTCTGATTCCTGCATCTTCTAAGGTAGTTTGGCTTTGGAAGCATAAACTGAAATACTATATTCCTTGCTTCACTCTCTTTGTAGGCTGCTTGGCTGCTGAAAGCTGTCACCTGCATAGACCTTACCACTCTTTCAGGTGATGATACTTCTTCAAATGTTCACAGACTGTGTTTTAAAGCAAAGCATCCTATCAGAGAGGATCTACTGAAAGCCTTGGACATGCATGATAAAGGTATGATAGTGTATTTTGTATAGAAAATGTCTATATTTCCTCATTTATTTTTTCAATTTTCAGAAATGTGTAAAAATGGCCTCTTCTTCCTGTAATGGAAGCAGTTATGGTAGGTGGCACTGCAGGACTAATAGTCCTGAGAGAACAAACCAGGTCCTATACGGTCTTATTCAAAGCAACTGTCTTAAGTTCTAACTGCAAAATATCTATTCCTTTGAGTTCATATAAGAATACAAGGAGAGAAAAATCTATTCTCAGTTTGGCAACCAAAGTGAAGCATGGACTCAGGGTGACACTGTAAGTTATAATACCTAATGGGCAAATTTGATGCGGAAGCCACAAGTGTGTAACCCCAGTGTGTGTCTTTTAATAACAGTGCACTAAGGTGAAACAAATTGAGTAGTGTGTTAATCTGCTAATGTCCTTAGTAAATTGGAGAAGGGGGAAGTGTTCATGTGACTCCTTAGGATTTCACGCTTAGCTGCTGTTTCTATATGTAACTACCAAGCCTACCACTTTGTCTGTCAGAAAAGATGCATTCCACAGTCCTAAGCATGTTATTTTTCCTTCAGAAAACATTATCTGTTACCTGCTTGTTTCAGTAGTTAAAATAGGAGACATCTTTTTAGCCCACTCTAGTTTAAGGAATCAGTCCTGTAGTGAGTGTGTGCAGTTGTGTGTCACAGAATCACAGAATGTTGGGGATTGGAAGGGCCCTCGAAAGATCATCCAGTCCAATCCCCCTGCCAGAGCAGGAACCTAAATGAGATCACCTAGAAAGGCGTCCAGGTGGGTCTTGAATGTCTCCAGAGAAGGAGACTCCACAACCTCCCTAGGCAGCCTGTTCCAGTGCTTTGTCACCCTTACAGTAAAGAAGTTTCTTCTGAAGTTTAAGTGGAACCTCCTGTGTTCCAGCTCACACCCATTGCCCCTTGTCCTACCATTGGACATCACTGAGAAGAGCCTGGCTCCATCCTCATGACATTCGCCCTTAACATATTTATAAACATGAATGTGGTCACCCCTCAGTCTCCTCTTCTCCAAGCTAAAGAGACCCAGCTCCCTCAGCCTTTCCTCATAAGGGAGATGCTCCACTCCCTTAATAATCTTGATGGCTCTGTGCTGGACTCTCTCCAGCAGTTCTCTGTCCTTCCTGAACTGTGGGGCCTGGAACTGGACACAATATTCCAGATGTGACCTCACCAGGGCAGAGTAGGGGGGGAGGAGAACCTCTCTTGACCTACTAACCACACCCCTTCTAATGCACCCCAGGATGCCATTGGCCTTCCTGGCCACAAGGGCACAGTGCTGGCTCATGGTCATCCTGCTGTCCACATATACAGATGTACACACGCAGAGTTCCTAGCTAAGTCAAAAGAGTTGAAGGGGCAGAAGACAACCCTTAAGAACGAGTGGTAGAACTTGCATTGTCATTACTCAAGCAGGCTCCATCTGAATTCCCAATGTTACACTTGAGACTGAACACTATAAAACTTCAGATCAAATTGAGACTGTCCCTATAACTATCAATAAAACCTCTTTATATCTGAGCAGTGTTTCTGCATTTTTCCAGCTCTAATCACTGATGTGTCAGTGAATACCATTTGACTTTTGTCCTGTCACTTGGCTTTATGATGATCTCACAAAAAGAAAATCCCAGCAACGTTTGGGACATGCTTTTACTGTTGAAATATTTCAGTTTTACACAGGCATTAGTCCACTGATTGAAGTCATAGAACCAAAGGGAAATCAGGCCTCTGGTTTTAAGCCATACACATAAAATATCAAAGATTAGTCTTTTTTTAAAACTTGGATTTATGGACTTGTCAGACAGTTGAAGTATTAAATATGAGGTCAATTATCTGAGACATTGAGAGAATAGAATTTTAACTAGAAATGCAGTAAGAATGCATTAACATAAAGACTGCTCAGTTGCTGCTGGGCTCAGTGTGGCTCAACAAGTAAGGACAGAGCTTGGCAGTGCGGTTTCTTTCACAGTAATTTGCTGACTAAGTGTGTCTGAACTGTATGTGTTGGCATTAAATAGTGAACCTGTCGGTAAAAATCTTGACGTTTTAACTCCTAATGCAAACTTGCTCCCAGGGTCAGGTGAAGGAACATGAGGGAGGTAACAATGTGGAGAATTACCTGAATCATTTGAGCAATATAACAGACATCCGTAGTGTAGGTGCTTAAGATCCTTGTGAGAATGAAATTTGAAGGTAAGAACAATGCACACTTACTCCTAATATGGATTGCACTCCAGGAGGTGGAAATCTATATATAAAAAAGTGAACTGTGGCTTTTGCAGGTATTACTGCTGCAGCAGTTTGTGTGTATCCTGCAAGAGTCACCGATGCTGTTCATGCCCTAAAGGCTGCTGGTTGTAACATACCAGTAGCTTCAGGTAAGCTTTATTCAAAAATATCCAATTAAATATTTTTATGCTATAAAATATGTAGAAAAATGCAGAAGTTGGGAGTTGCATTTGTTTCAGAGAGTAGGGTGAAAAGGTAGCAGGTGGAAGGAAGGGAGTGAAGGGTCGGATTTCTTCTGGTATCATCTTTTGTCTTCTTTCAACTTCAAGCTTATCAGGATCTGTTTTGCTGGAAGAGATATATCCTTAAGATATATCAGTGTTCTCCTCACCCAAATAGAAGAAATTGAGATAGTGTGCTGAACAAAGTATCAGTAGACAGTAGGTAGATAATAGTAATAATAATGAAATATGGGCTTTAGGAGTTCTAATACAAGGGGTTTTTTTCTGTATCAGTTGTTTGGCTTGTAAGTATAATCCTACAAGCCAAATTCGATGAAGCTGTGTGCAGAGGCAAGGGTTATTGCCTGCTGAGCAGCCTGCAGGTTCAGGACTTGTACTTACAAATCTAATAGTGCCAGCTCTTCTCCAGTCACCACACATGAGAGACAAGTCCTGAATCTACAATAAGCAAAAAGTAGAATCAAAGAATTATATGGGTTGGAAGGGAGCTCTGGATGTCATCTGGGCCAACCTCCTGCTCAAAGCAGGGGCTAACTTTGAAGTTAGATCAGGTGTTTAATGCTAAGATCCGTGTTTTCTGGTGGGTTTTTTTGTTGTTGTTCCATTGTTGTGTAGGCAAAAATATACACCCTAAATGCATTTATATGTCAGAGAGAAAAAGGATCTCAGACAAAGCCATTATTTTTTCCATTTCCTAAGTTACCTTTGGGTTTTGTACCTAAACAGCATAAGCATAATCTTAAATAGACCTCATTGAAAGCAATATTTGCTATATTGTGATTTAGCTGTTAAACGTATTACTAGGATTTAACTTGAAATACTACTTAAAAGAATTGAGGAGAATTAAAAATGTATGTATTACTTCATGTATGAGTTCACTTGTTTGCTCAATTCTGCTGGAAGCAATAGATATTGGACTTTCTTATGTAAGCTGCTTTGGAAAAAAATAAGGCATGTGAAAGAGATCTTTTCACAAGACACACTTAGTATCTTGCTGGACATTGGTTCTTGAGGGGAGAACTAATGCTTCTTGTGGATGAAGAGAGAGTAGGATGAGGTATCTTTATATTTTTTGAATCATGATAGGGATAAAAGAAAAATAACTTTCAAACTCTCTACTGTATTAGAGGTATATACAATTTTATGGTCAATTTATAAAACATTTTCTTCCCTCTATCTGCATCCTCTTTCTTTTAGTGGCTGCTGGATTTCCATCTGGACAAACTCCTCTAGAAACCAAACTGGCTGAGATAAAGCTAGCTGTGGAATATGGTGCCAGGGAGATTGACATTGTCATTAGCAGGAGTCTGGTGCTGAGTGGCCAGTGGGAAGGTAAGAACCCACCCTTTGGCAAGGAACCTAAACCTCTCTATATGCATGTGCAGCCTCTGCCTTTGTCTCTTCTCCGAGTCTTCACATCAGTCCTTGAAGAATTTGGTCCTTCGCCTAAGAGTAACAGATAATTTGGGGCACTGAACTAAATAAAAACTATTTAACTAGTTTATGACTAATTTTTGAAAAGAGTGCTGTTACAAGTCCCATCAGGCTGGACGTGCAGAATGACTTTGTGTTTTGAAAAGCCAGGTCTATTCTTCCTATGCCTTTGGAGGATTTTGTGTACAGGCTTAAAAAAGCAAGTGAAGTGGAAGTAAATGCCTAATTATTTGAACAGTTTTGTTAAAACCCCAAGGGGTTGCTAACCTAGATGATACTTTCTTAAATATACATTTCAATTTTTGACAAAAATATATATTTTAGTTGTTTTCTTTTTCCTGAAAGTTGAGGGTACAAATTGGCTGTTCATATTATTTTTGATGCTCTTGTGTCTGTAGACTACTACTAATTAGTAAGAACAATAATGCTGAAGATGGTTTTTGCTCTAATTGCCTCCTTATTGTACTGAATGAATGGTTTGCCTTAAGTGCTGACAACGCTTCTATAAGTAATCTCCATGTGAAGGTAAACACATCATTGTCTTGGAATGAATTTTCCATTTAGTTGTATAATGCAGCACTGTAATAGCCTATTTGCTTGTAAGACTTCATAAAGGACCCCTGGTACCTCGGTTTGGTTAAGGAAATACAATCATCATAGTAACAGATCATATTTTCTGATTTTAGTCGTCCTTCAATTAGCAGTTAGAATTGAACTAAAAAACCCACGTGTTTCTGCAGCGGTATCTTCAGGACTGATATAGAATCATAGAATGGTTTGGAATGGAAGGGACATTAAAGCTCATCCAGTTCCAACCCCCCTGCCATCAGCAGGGACACCTTCTGCTAGACCAGGTTGCTCAAAGCCTCATCCAACCTGGCCTTCAACACTTCCAGGGAGGAGCAGCCACAGCTTCTCTGGCCAACCTGTTCCTTGTTTCCACTTGCTATAACATCTTGACCTCTCTCATAGTATTTATCATCTTCATCCTTTTGCTCTTAAATATATGCAGCTTTACAAATGCTTGACTTCTCGAGGATGGTCATTGTTGCAGGCATTTGTTTCGTTCAGAGTGGCTATTTGAGGTTCAGGTGTCACCTCAGAAATTGCTGGAATATGGAGACTGGGTAATTGAGCATTTTTAAATAAGACAGAATGATGGATCAAGTTCTGTACCAGCTGGCAGCAAGACTATATGCACACCTTCCTTCACTGTATCTTTGTTAGGGTCTACATTATGGTCTACAAAGCAGATACCCCCTCCAGAAGTTGTGCTTCTCTGGAAACACGTATTGGTCTTGGATACAAAATGAACTGTCAATGATCTGTTACTAAGACTAAAAAAAGACCACTAAACTGGACTTGAGCAGCAACTTGCAACTGTGTCTGAAACAGCCTGTCTTGTAGCAATTTCTGACATAACTGTGGTTACCATCCTTCAGACTTCATGGTGCAAACCACTGGTAAGTGCAAGTTGCATAGAGCAGAGATCAGAAAGTTAGCACAGGCAGGCAACTGCAAATGCAGGCTTGAGGTTATATTGCCCGGGATTACGTGGAGGAGAACTCGGAGAAGAAATACAGGGCTAGGCTCAGAGAGGTTTGTATTGGTGGTTGAAATGAAGTGGATGTACATCGTTAGGATTTTCTGTATGGGAAGTGAATTGTTTTTTGTCATCACAAATTACAGAGGAGGAGTACACGGACATAGCAATGATGGATGTAGTATAAAGCTGTCAGTTTACTAAATAAGTAAATTAGGGATGACCTTTCATTTGGTATGCGTATTCGTTTATCCAGCACTGAAGTCATGACAAGGTTGAAAGCTATCCTTTTTTTGACAATGGTTAGTTTACTTTTATTTTTTTTTTTTTTTTACTGAGGGCAGAATTGAAATTATTTTCAAATGTTTTCTGAAAGTTTATTCATGAACATGACTCTGTGTATGACACATATTTACAAGGTCTCGAAAAAAGCTACCTCAGGAACAGAATTTACTTGCCATCCAGATAATGATGCTACAGGGTGAAAAATTATAATATTTATCCTGCCTGTCCAAAGAAAATTACTTCAGTAGGTGGTCTGAATATTTCGGTGAAAATCTAGTCTTCTGACTTCCTGTTTATCTTTCAATAGATGTATGTTACCTGCTCTAACATGAAGGTTTCCACCTCTCTCTAATGATTAGATATGATACATGGCAATGTATAAAGTATGTTTAAGGAAGCTAGAAGAAGGGATGAAGTAGTCATTTTTAGGATGAATCCCTGTATTGCATAAAATTGAAAAATCTAGTGCAGTAAATATGGCTGGGTGCTTCATCAACTAGAGCTGCCTTGCAGTTGTCACAGAACCTCTGCTTATGCTTATAACACTAATATATTTTTATATTTATTTTTGTATGCTGCCTGTCTTCACAGCTTCAGGAGTTATTGACAAAATTATGTATGTGGTAGAGTGCTTTATCTACTGTTCATATATTTTTAGCTTTTCTTCTAGCTTATGTAAAAATTGGGGTTACCGTGATAGAATAGTGTTGCTTTGTGATTTGTTTCAAAGGCTTGTTTGGTTATTAAAGATTTTACTGTATGTTCCATTATGTCAAGTTATTTTAAAGCAGTTCTTAAATTTTGTTGGAGCTCTTTAGGACACTCAGAATATATTTTCTAGATCTTAATGAAGTAATTGCTCAGATCTTTTTAATAGCGCTGAATGTGAAAGCATCTTTATTGGACAGCTAATTTACATTGGAAAATAACAATAAATGAGATTTAATTTAGTGAACTTATATACCTTTTATAACCTATCAGCTTTTAAAGCAATACTACTTTACTCAACCATCTTTGAGCTTGACAAAGTACGGATTAAGCTTAAAAATCACAATTTGGATACTGTCTTTAGACACAGAATGTGGAGCCTGTATGTAAAGAGTGATGAAGTTGACCAACAAATTGTTGAAAGAAACTGGATTTATTTAGTTAGTTAGTTAGATATTTTCCTGTTATCAATGAATATGGTGGAGTTGCTGTACCTTCTGAAGCTGTCTAGGGTCCTCTAATGTTACTTCTAGTTTCACAGCTTTTAGCAAACACCTGGACATACTACACTGTCAGTTGTTTCAGAGGTATTGTTAACCCATCGTTTGCTCCATGCCAGTTGGATTTTCCTACAAGAAAAGGGAAAAACCCAAGTATACTCTTAAGAAGTTTGCATGTGGCTGCATCCATGAAATACATTAGGTATAACCTCATAATGAAAGCTGCCTTTCAATTCCATTGATAATTATTCAACTGTGAGTTCAGAGGCTTTGTTCAGGGATTGGGGCCCCCTTCTTGTGCTACATACTTTATAAACAGCGCAGAGAAAATACACTCCCTGCTCCAGAGACTTGGAAAAGACTCCACATATTATTGTTCAGAAATATTATAGTCGGATTTACTGTTTTCTAGACGTGCAAGCTGACTTGGGATGGCAAAATCTAGTTGCACAATTTCTGTCTTATGTTGTCAGCAGCAGATCAGAATCCTGAAGCCAAGCTCTGTTTTCGGTTTCACATGAATCACTGGAGCCTGGAGTTGCACATATGTGGCTGAGAGCAGAACTGAAAGAGTTGTGTTGTGCTGATAGCCTTGTGCTTGTCATTTTGTTAACAAACCTGCCATTAACGTGCAAGACAGAAGGGATTCCAGCTCATTTTCCAGTTTCCCATCATGATTACCTTGATCTTTTGGTCTAACAGAAATTGAAACATCTTCCCTCCTCGTCTCAGTTTCTACCCTTAACATCAGTCATTGTGACTGACTAGATAAAAACAGCAAATAAACTGAATTTAAAAAAAAAAAGAAAAAAGAAAAAGTGTTTTTATCACTACATTTTTGGAGAAAAGCTGTTTCATAAAAAATTAAGCTGTATATTTTTCCCCTTAGTATTTTCATTTCCTTTGTAGGAGATACGGAATATCCCCCTTATTTTGTGATTTTTATGACAAATATGTTAGACCAAAGCAAAAGACCATTTAGACAATCTAGGGCAAATTATAGCCAGCAGAAATTGTCAGGGATGTTTGCTTGAGAAATGTATAGGGGGAGGAACATTTTCTTTGGTGTATTTAATAGCTGCTAAAAATCAATATAATGCACTGAATAGTTAAAATTTTAGGAAAACTACAAAAAAGACACCTTCCAACACTTATCTTTTATAACAGTGAAATCGAAACCACAGCTATGAAAGTATTTTTTTCCTATAAAACCAGAATTTTTTTGACTTCTATAAATGCATCTAATAAAAACAGATCTGAAGTTCATGAAAGCAGTAAGGTATCTTAAGGGTGCAAAGCAGAAGAGTTATGATGTCGCATCCATTTTAACAGCTAAGTCAGTAGAGCTGCTACAGATGACATCAATGAGTGTCTGGCTCTGAATGTTTTCTGTACAGGTTGGCTTACTTGGGGGGTTTTTTGGTGTTTTGTTTTTTTTTCCCCTGACTTAAGACTTAGACTTCTTTTAGAATGGATAGTGTTGGTGCTGTGTTCCAGATGCTACACAGTACTGGCATTTACTTTGAGAGCTCTTGATTCTCTTTTTCTTGTTTTTAGCAGTCAGAAGGAGAGACTTTTGCAACCTCTTCATGATAGTTTATTGTGGTTTAACCCCAGCTGGCAACTAAGCACCACACGGCCACTTGCTCACTTCCTCCCCAGTGGGATGGGGGGAGAATTGGAAGAGTAAAAGTGAGAAAACTCGTGGGTTGAGATAAAGACAGTTTAATAGGTAAAGCAAAAGCTGCATGCACAAGCAAAACAAAACAAGGAATTTATTCACCGCTTCCCATGGTCAGGCAGGAGTTCAGCCGTCTCCAAGACAGCAGGGCTCCACCACACCTAATGGTGACTTGGGAAGACAAACGCCATCACCCCGAATGTTCCTCCCTTTCCTCTTCTTCCCCCAACTTTACATGCTAATTATGATGTCATATGGTCTGGAATATCCCTCTGGTCAGTTGGGCTCAGCTGTCCCAGCTGTGTCCCCTCCCTTGTGCACCCCCAGCCTCCTTGCCTCTGTCTGCTGTCAGCTACTGGTGTTCTGCATAGGTTGCAGATATTCCCAGAACCGCAGTGTCCAGCTCTGCTCCTGATCAGCTTGATGGAACTGAATAGTTAAGTGATGGACTTTATGGCGGCACAGGCTGTCCCCAAAGCAGCCTAGGACCTCGTGAAACACTTGAGTGCATTTTCAAGTGTGATTAACTCCAACCATACTTTAGACATTTGCCAGAAAGTTTTAGGATAATCAAGTTATTAGTGCCTTGATTTAAATCTGACTGAGTGCTGAAACTTCTTTCTTTTTATTTTTGAAAGGAGTAGGAGTTTTTGCACTTGTTCTGTATCAAAGCAGCTCCTACTTGCCCTGGGACTGAAGTGCTCTAGTTAATGTTCTCTGTCCCAGAGGTAGTCGCATTTATATTTGTTCTTTTTACTGCAGGGTTGAGAATGTCCTATGAATGCCAGCGATTGTCTGCAATAATTGGTCTCTGAATAAAGAGCAGTATTTATTACCTACACACCTGCCCCATTAACGTATGCCCACTTTTCCACCACCTCAGCTAACCTGATAGGTGATGGATGATTGAAGATCCTCTGTTGTTCCTGTCCGTGGGTTGATCCGTGCTGTCAGTGAGACTGTTCAAATTATCTTGGCACTAATTGCATATAAAAGTACCTTCCAACAATAGGGAGGATGCTGTAGCTGTTTTACTAACTCCAGTGAACAACAGCTATGAGGATATAATTTCTTTTTGTGGAATTCAACCTAAATGTACATTTTGTTGATTTTATTTTGACATTTTTGGCCATGTATCTTAAAAGTAGAGAAAACTCGAGTCTTTTCTTCTTGTTGCCGAAACTAGGAGAACATGAAAGCTGCTTTCTCTGGCTTTCCAAAAGCTTCAGGAAAGAGTCACTCCACAAAAAGAGACTGCATTTGGGTCTAACCTAAGTGGTATTATAAAATGCACAAGAAAATAGCACAGATTCTTTGTATTTCCTTTTGAGTCTCGATTTGATGTAGGTTTCTGGAGTATCATCAATTGATCAATAAAACATGTTAGACTGCATGCTAGTCCTGATTAATTCACACCTTTGGTACACAGTAAGAAACAAGGTGAAGCCTGGTGTCTATAAAGGGACTTGCTAAGTGCATTAGCCAGTTGTCTACTAAGACGTGTGGTACCTCTCAGAGGAGAACCCCAGCGATCCCGGCCCTGGCTGCCTGCTGTGCCGATGGCATCAATAGGATGTGGCAGCATCAGGGGTGGAGGGGAGGTCCAACCATACAGCAGCTCACAAACCCTGTTGTATGTTTCCAGGGCTCTCTTGAGGACTGATGGGAAAAGAAAACTCCTATTGCTAAAAAAAATTTAGTCTTTGTAGCCATATCCTGGACTTTTTAAACAAGAAATATTTGTTAAAAGCTGTATTTTAGCCTTCCATAAAAGAACTGTTTGATTACGTGTTTGGAGGTTGAATACCATTTGTGAAAAGGACTTTCTTGCAAAGAATCCTGTTTACTTATTATGTGTCGTCTTTTTTTTTTTTTTAATTCCAATTCCAGAAATAATGGCTGTACACTCCAAGAGCTGCTTTTCTGTCCACACTGGAGGAATGTTAAACATCCCCAAGTGGCTGGTTCCTAACAGCAATGTTTCAATAATTTCTAGCTCTTTTAATCTCTCTGTGTATAAATTTTGTGGGAGCACTGCTGAATTTTACCAGATTGCTCAGGGAGGGTTTTCCTGTGCTCCTCGTGTTGTGTTACCTGACAAGGTCCACGAATTCTAACCTTTTTACAGTCCGTTATATCCACAATTTATTCCAGTCCTTACTGAGTCTGTGAGAATATAAAGCTGTTAGAAAGGTCAGCGTGCCTGTGGCCAGGACACTTTGGAAATCTGAAAGCAGCAGTTTGTGAGGGGGTCATCTGCTGTGGACAGTGTCCATGAGCAGCCAAACGCTGACCTGTCCTCCCTGTCCCTGCTTCTCCCTGGCTGCAGCCAGTGGCTGGCTGGTTGAGCGGCAGTTCCCTGGGAAGCAGCGAGCCGGGGGGATGTGTGCTGGTTTGTCTCAGGGACATGCTGACTGCTTGGAGGTGAGAGCTAAGGAGAGCTGTAGGTCAGAGGACAGGCTGGTAGCAAGAGGCCCTTCAAAGGTAGTGGAGCTCTCTGTGGGGAGGAAGGAGTGACTCCAGGGCAGAGGTCTGCTTTTTGTTTTCCAAGTAATGTGAAGATGCAGAGATAGTGGTCTGCTTTATTTCTCATCTCCAGACAGCTTCCTCAGCGAGTGTGAGCATTAGAAGTGAGGGTCCAGCTGAGCCCTTGGAGCTGTAGCTCCACAGCATGCTAGACAGATGTTGTCCTGCTGGACCTCCTGCCACAGTGCTTCCTTCACCTTTGCCAGGGCTGTTTGAGGTCCTCAGTAACCTTGTGGGCAATGCAACTACTTGAGGTGGTTTGTAAACACAGATCCACGTGGATTTGCTCTTCCTTGAGGTGTGATCCCAGGCCTTGGTCTCTCCTCTCCAGAAATCTCAACAGGCTGCATTGATTTTTTTCAGGAAATTCTTATTTTCAAGAAGCTTAAAGTGAGGTTCAGATGCCTAAACACAGACATCGAGCTCCTTAATCAGACTTCCTGAGATGGTCCCATGGTACTAGGGGGAAGGGTAGGAAACCAAAGGGAAATGTGAAGCCTCCAGGAGTGACAGCTGGAAATCAAAGGGGATAGTTCATGGCATCTCAGGTAGCACTAATCTTTGTAATTAGTCAACTTGGTCACATCTTTGATGTCTTTTAGACTGAGCCTTTTGGCAAATGTGGCTAAAGGGGACAAGAGAGGGTGATGCCATGATCTGGAGAGGAAAACATAACTGTCCCCGAGTACTGATTCAATATGTTACTATCTTTCTTACTGAAAATACTGTTTTAAAATCAATCTTGAGGATCATAGCATTTTTTTATTCCTGATGCATTCATGAGTGTTTGGCATACTGTGCACATTCTTAGTTTTGAGAGAACTGACATTAATAGCTATTAAGTTAAGCCTGAAACTGTGTGGTGTTGTTAATTACCTCCAGTCATGTAATTTATTGAACTTACAAAACTTAAGTTCTTGAGTGCTATGACTAATTATAAGATTGGAAATTAATCCAGAAGTGGAAATTACAGCCATACTTGAAAATGTCTTTCAGGTAACTTTGATCATTTTCACATGCTTTTATCCTCAGGTCTCTACGAGGAGATCCGCCAGTGCCGCGAGGCCTGTGGAGAAGCTCATATGAAAACAATCTTGGCAACAGGTGAACTGGGGTCCCTTGCTAACGTCTACAAAGCCAGTATGATAGCTATGATGGCAGGTAAATATATGTGGTTTTCTTTTTAAGCTAACAACGTTGCTCTATTATTTATGAAGCTTAAAAAATTGTAGTTGTGAAAGTTTAGTTTTGCCGATAGTAGAAAAAACTTATTACCCAGCAATTACTGAAGTTGCAGGTGTAGTAACGAAGCGTCGCTTGTTTCGTGTAACCTATAAAAACTGCATGGAATGTGAAATAACACTTAAAACTGCTAAATAACAAAATTTGTAGGAGAAAGTAATATTTGTTGTCAGACATCTGATCCTTGATATATTTAATAAGGGTACATACATTTGGGGCAGATACACATATTATGCAGGCAATTGTGGTGAACTATAATGTAGGTAGGTGGCTCGTAAGCTTCTTTTAAATGCAGAGGGACCTTCCCTGTGAAGATTCATGCTGACAGCTCTCGTTTCTGGTTTGCAATCAGTTCTTCTAACCACCTCTATGAGAGTGCAATTTGTGAAGCACCTGTACTGGAAATGCAGTGAGGGAAAGAACACCATGTACTCCAGTAGGCACTGGGATAGGTTAGATTAAACTGGTTTTAAATTGGCACACTCAAAAGCAGTGGCATTCACTACTGGCAATTAATTGGCACTTCAAATCACAGAATCACAGAATGGTGGGGTTGGAAGGGACCTCAGGAGATCATCTAGTCCAACCCCTCTGCCAAAGCAGGTTCCCTACAGCAGGTTGCACAGGAAAGTGTCCAGGTGGGTTTGAACATCTCCAGAGATGGAGACTCCACCCCCTCTCTGGGCAGCCTGTCCCAGGGCTCTGGCATCCTCACAGGAAAGAAGTTTTTCCTTAGGTTTGTCTGGAACTTTCAGTGTTCCAGTTTGTGCCCATTGCCCCTTGTCCTGTCACTGGGCACCACCGAAAAGAGCCCGGCCCCATCCATTTGGCCCCCACATTTCAGATAGTTATAGACACTGATCTGATCCCCTCTCAGTCTTCTCTTCTCCAGGCTGAACAGTCCCAGCTCGCTCAGTGAAATGGTGTTCACTCTTCCCTGTCTTTAAAAACTTGATTATGTCTGACCTGATGTTTAGGAGTCTCTCTGTCTTTTGTTCTGAATCTTTCCAGATTAGAAACACATTCCCATGAGCAGGCTAGAGCTTTTAGGGGTTATGTATAGTTTGTAGGTATTACTTTTTTGCATAGCTATAGCCATTGCAGACTGGATGAATGGAGTGAAGCACCCATTTGAGCCCAGATTGACAGTGGTATGTTCTCTCTGCAGCTTTGGGTCTGCACTGGTACAATTTTCCCTAGTTTAACCAGGATTTTAGGGCTGTGTTTTAGTGACATCTTTTAAGATGCAAACCCAGGAATTGGCTGATAAGGCTGTGCTCTTTGAACTCTGTTCTAGGCACTTGCTGCTTCTGCCATGCTTGAAATAGGGCTCTTCGAGTGTATTGACAGAGAAGTGTAAAGATTCACTAAAAGCCACTTGGGTTCGTCTGTCTACTATAAGCTCTTCAGACCTGGAATTTCTTCTTATTTTAGAGCAAGAAAAAGTAATCCAAGTGTCTTGTCAGTATTTAAATAAATATTCAACTTGCTGCTGACCTCATGGTCTCCTTACACAACACAGTGCTTCTCTACTTCAAATGGAACGGGAAGCATTTCAAGCTTTTTACATGTTCGGCTATAATGTCAATTAGTATCATTAGATACAGAGGATCGGTATTATGCCAGTAAATATTGCTTTTAATTAGAAGAAGTGTAAGAAATACACATTTCCTGTCATTTAAACTGATGTACTAATCATTATGATCACTTCTTGTAACATGGAGTAGTGACAAATTCAGGTTGTGAAGCGTTGTAACATTTTCAGATTTTTTTGCTGGTGTAGTTTTTTGGAAATACAGCAGATGGCTCTATTGTTAATGATTTTCCTTGCATAGTTATTCATTTTACAAGATACTTATCCCTCTGAATATATGCAGTAATTTCCTTATTTCAGTCGCTTGCTTTTTCTTTGGGGGTAGGTGTAAAAACAGGAATTTATTGGTGCCCCATGTAACATGTATTGAAGGCCAGATTTTCAGACTGTGACTTACCAGAACTGCTGAGAACCTCAAATTCCAGTGAATTTTGTTTGATTTGTATAATTGTAGCATTTTGTGGAGAAAGTAATTTGGCACAGTAGATTTAAATTCTTGCTTTACTATCCATCTATTTTTTTCCAACTGGTGCCATGATTTAAAAGAAAGAAAAAAAAACAGATGAACTTGTGGATATGACAGGCCCTGGCAAATTTTATCGAAGATAAAAAAGCAACAACTGTAATAAACTTGACCCTAGTAATTAGCTTTATATGGGGAAATTAGTTACACAATATAGTGGATTCAACTGCCAAACTGCCTTTAGAAGTTTTTACTGCCTCTGCCCAATTGCTTCTGTCCTTTACACCAAAATTTACTGCTCCTTTAGCTGTGCTGTTAGAAGTGCTCGTCATGCTGCACTGTAAGCTGAGTTTTCAAAGTAATACAGTTGAAAACTAATCCAGGAAAGGTTTAACTAGTTTGCTGTGTGTTTTTTGTGATTGGTTGTCAATTTTATTTATTTATTTATTTATTTTTAAATAGTCACAACCTCAATAATCTGTTTTACAGCCTTGCCTTGCATGCGATTGTATCGGTGCAACCGGGGACGTGGTGTGCAGTCCTTAAACTGTTTCTCTTCCCTGTGTATAACGTAAGCCTATCATGGAGGGAGCACAGAATCCTAGACTTGCAGATGTTGATGTTGTCCTTGCTGAGCATGCACACATTCGCCTAGGTCCTGAAGCACAAAGCCACTAGAAGTGTTGCAACGTGTACGTAAAATAGATGTATTTCCAAATGGGTCTCATTTGTGAGACTCAGAAGGCTGAGAGAGTAACACAATGCTGATTTATCAGTAGCTCTGTGGTTAAAAAGCTTGCCTAGGATGTCTGGGACTTGGTCAGTCTGAGGTTCTTCTCCCGCACAGAGGTAAATTTTACAATGTTATTTGTCATTAAGAATCAGTCTCTCCCAGTAAAGTTGCTCTGCTTTGCACAAAGCAATTAACTGAACAGGGAATATAACTCAGCTCTCTCCTCTCCCAAATAACTTTCCAAAATTTGTACGCAGTCTTCCTTGTGCTGGCTTGAGGAATTATTGGTGGATACTGGGAACCACAGCATGTCACGTTTGGTCTGATTCAGCTAGCAGGTGGGGGTTCAGCCACTGGACATGAAGTCAGCCGCACAGATCACTTGACTTGAAAAGGGGTGATAAAAGGTCAAATATGCTGGGAACTACAGCATGTTACATTTGGTCTGATTCAGCTAGCCAGGTGGGAGTTCAGCCACTGGACGTGAAGTCAGCCGCACAGATCGCTTGACTTGAAAAGGGGTGATAAAAGGTCAAAAAATGTGCACTTCTCTGTTGACTGGGATTTTAAAAGAATGCTAAGAGCTGTGCTCAGGCTGGGTTGATGTGACCATGCACTTTTATATTTAAAGCCAATTGCATAAGCTGCTTCTGTAGGCAAACAGCTGTACTCTGAATCACGGCCCTTGCGGGATGCAGTGAAAGCCAGTGAGACCTGCAGATCCCAACAGTGCGCTGGAGGTGGAGGCCAGTTGTGGAAGTGGTGCTTTGCAGAACATCCCTGTGTATGAGATGTTAATGCTTGCACCTGCAAGAACTTGAGAAAAAGTGTTGCTTCACAGTGAGGTATGAGAATCCCAGAATGGTGGGGTTGGAAGGGACCTCAGGAGATCATCCAGTCCACCCCCCCTGCCAAAGCAGGTTCCCTATAGCAGGTTGCACAGGAAAGTGTCCAGCTGGGTTTGAACATCTCCAGAGATGGAGACTCCACAACCTCTCTGGGCAGCCTGTCCCAGGGCTCTGGCACCCTCACAGGAAAGAAGTTTTTCCTTAGGTTTGTCTGGAACTTTTGGTGTTCCAGTTTGTGCCCATTGCCCCTTGTCCTGTCATTGGGTACTACTGGAAAGAGTCTGGCCCCATCCATTTGGCCCCCACATTTCAGATAGTTATAGACATTGATCAGATCCCCTCTCAGTCTGCTCTTCTCCAGGCTGAAGAGTCCCAGCTCTCCCAGCCTCTTCTTGCAAGGAAGATGCTCCAGGCCTCTCATCATCTTTGTAGCCTCCACTGGACTCTCTCCAGAAGGTCCCTGTCCCTCTTGAACTGGGGAGCCTAGAACTGGACACAATATTCCAGATGTGGCCTCGCCAGGGCAGAGTAGATGGGGAGGAGAACCTCCCTCGACCGGCTGGCCTCTATAATTTGCCTCTATTTGAAGCAGTGGCTCTTGGCTCCTCCAGTGTCTGAAATCATACCTCCAAAGTAGCATGACTACTTTTTCTTTCTTCTTTAGCACAGTACAGAAGGAGAAAGACATCAGAATGGGAGCAGGCAGCCAGTTCTCTTAAATTCCTTTAACCATACTTTTGCTGACTTGACTGACATGCAATAAATTCTTCTGGAATATTTAAGAACCTGTTTTCTGAGTGAAAGAGGCTGACAGGCCTCCTAAGGACAGTGACTCACCTGGCAAGAATAATCCTTGCAGTGCTAAGGAGGACATAATGGCTGGTAGGACTGGACATCAGTCTCTCCCTGTCACTACCAAAAGAGCACGTTGTTTTGAGAAAGCTGACTGAGAGAAAATCTCAGCATTGAATTGGGAAAATTTGATCATATGTTTATAATATCCACTGCTATTTCTTGAGCTACTTGAAGTCTTGATGGTGGTTTGAGTGCATGAGCTTCTCAAGGGAAACTGACTGCATCTTTGACTTTACCAGTCAGCTTCCAGTCAATGAGTAGAGCGTTTTTCACTGTCTGGTCTATACTCCTGTGAGTCATGTCCGTTTCCACAGGAGACACTCCAACCTGTGTCTTTGTAGCCTCTTGGAATAAGCAGTCCTAAGGAACACAAATGGGAGTGCCTGCCTCCCCCATAACAGTGGTAACTATTCTAGGTTTCTTCAT